TCTCATTTTCCTCAGATTTGTCATTTTTGGGATCATCATTGCATAGACTCATGTGACCATGCAATTTCCCTTTCACATTACCTAACCAGATGTTCAGGAATCTTGAGTGACATTTACGATCTAATTCTATGATCTCTTCTTGATTGACTCCAATCTGAACTCTATTGGGCTCCTTGTTTAGGCTGTTGATCATAATCAATACTGATTTTTTTCCGTTAATTTGGGAGTTATTAGCTGCATAGAACCCTTTTGCTCTTTCTAAAATGTACCTCATGTCTTCTTGAGACCTGGCTATCCATGTGGTATCATCCATATATACTATTGCAGCTTGTCTTATTGATAGTCTTTTATGATTGTTGAGGTCAGTTGTTGCTTTACTGAAGTTTGTTATCCATGTACAATTCGACATGAAACCCAAGTTTGGGTTTTCTTGGATTTCACAAAGGAGAGGGTCATAGAAGATTCTCCACAAGAAAGGTGACAATATCTCTTCTTGATCAATTTCATCCCCTGCTATTACCTCTTTGGTGAGCCCGACATCTGTGATAATCTTAATTGATCTTTGTATAAAGGGATCCAGTAAGAGTTTGATGGTTTTTCTTGGCACTTTAATTCTTTGGAGCACCCTTTAAAGCATTTCTAAGTTCACTGTGTCATATGCTTTTGCTGTGTCTTGGAAGAGGATCCAAAGCTCCTTCCTTTCCTCACGGGCTTCTTCAAGGATATTATTTAGCAGGTGTATGGGTTCTGACATACTTTCTCCTGGAAGTCCCGCAAAATTGTGTGAAAGGGAAATTGTATGGTCATATGAGTCTATGCAATGGTGATCTTAAAAATGACAAATCTGAGAAAAATAAGATATCTGTAATATATTTCTTTTATTTGATTTATTTGATTTCTTTCAGATATTAGCGATAGTTGAGAAATTAGATATATTAGTGATAGTTGAGATAATTGAGATAGTTTAGATAGTTGATATATCTGAGATAATTTTTTGATTTTAGCATATATATAAGCGCAAAGAAAATGTCTGAATAAAATTAACAATTTAACCTCTAACAATTTAACATCTATTTGTTTAGTCATTTAATTGTTCAAATGAATTGCTTGTAAAACTGCGACCATAAAGGAATTTGGAAGAGTTTTAAAGTAGTTTGAGAATGTGAATGTCCATTGCTACAACAGGAACTTAGGTATAGTTTGAGTAGACGAATGCGCATTGTTAATGGACAAATTTGAATTTATTTTTTAGAGAAAGAGCAGGATACTCAGACCAAATTATTACGCCTCAGCCTTAAAACCTTAAATAATAGAGAGAACTTTGAAAGACCCTCACAAAATTTGGTGGTGACTATGAGATTCGAGCAAAACGAAGTTGCTACCCTTCCCCCCCCCTGATTTTTTTGAACGAACGAATTGATACCCCGATTGAATGATGATATAGTTATGACAAAAAAAAAAAGAGAAAAAGACAAACGAAAAAAAGAAAAGAAACGAAAGAGACACTTTGAACATAACGACACTTTATTACCCCCCAATTTTTTCTTGCGAACGATTTTTTTTATTATTTCTTTTATTAAAACATACACAAGATGGCCTGCGTAGAAAAGCCTGTGAACTTTTTTGGAAATGAATATGACGGACGATCAAGAGCAGCCACTCCCACTCATGAAGACAATATGTACTCATTTTTGGGAGAGATATTTAGAAGTTGCCGCGATGCTACGGCAGAAGCAATGAGGAGGACACCCGACCGTTAAGAACAGATTGGGCGAGAGACGAACTGGGTGCCAGTAAGGATATACTACGGGACAGAACAAGAAGACCCCATAGAATGGATAGAGGCCTTCGAAAGAGCAGCAATGGCAAACAATTGGACAGAACGAAGAAGAACACAGATTGCCTCTGGATACCTCGCCGGGATAGCAGTCAGTTGGTACGACGATAATTGGCGCACCATAGACCACTGGGACAATGACGAACACAGGGATCGAAGTTTCGTCCCGAGGTTCATGGAATATTTCACCACCCCGGAACGAAGACACAAATGGCAGATGGAGCTCAACACAATAATACAGAAGAACGAAGAGAGAGTGGATACTTACGCGTACCGGTTCAAGCAGTTGTTAAGACGCGTAAACTTGGAACATCGCCTGCCAACTACATACGTCATCCGATTGTTCACTGGCAGATTGAAAGGAGAGATCGCAAGGTTAATGCCACTGGTAGAGCCCACCACACTAGACGATGCGATCGCAAGTGCGCGAAAACTGGAAGCTGGAGAATACTATACCGGCAGAAGAAAGGAGAGTAACCCAGCTAACGACACCATCAGCAGCCTAACGAGACAAGTGCAAGAAATGTTATCAAAGCTGACTACGATAATAAGAGAGAAGGAAAATACTAGAAACCAGAGTTACCGACCCACCGGATGCTTCAATTGTGGAAGACAAAAACATAGAGCCCGTGAATGCCCCGAGCCGCCAAGAAGAATACCACCACAAGTTACCAACCCTCGTGACGCGAACCTTTGCGAAGTAGAGAACAGCGACAACGAAGCTTACGTTGCTACTAGATCACGACACCAGCCATACACTGTTAACCGTTCAAAAAAAGGTGAAATGAGTAAGGAACCTACTGGAAGAACTGTGAACCAGCCACGACAAACAGAACAAGCACGACCGGCACAACAGGAAGAGCGCATCCAATCAACACAACCAGTAGAAATGTTGATCACGGCGGAACCTGCAAAAGAGAAAGTTAAGAATGCCACGCCGCGAGTCAAGCACCAGAGAGGACCGTCAGTAGTAGACCAAGCATCCCTATACAACGTTGCAGAAGACTTGTTGAGTCAGAGAGCTAATGCCACGTATGCCCAACTATTACAAATTCCGAAGCAATGACAGCACCTGGAACAAGTATTGAAACGACCTATCATCATCCCCGTGGAAGTTGACTATGTGGAAGACCAGCCCCAACGAACCTCAGCAGCTAGATGTAATATGAAAATAAGAAACAAACCAGTAGTAGCAGTATTGGACTCTGGAGCAGCAGTGAGCATAATGTCAAAGAAATTGCTTACCAAGCTCGGACTACAGATTTCGGAACCATCTAATGCTGTTGTCGTCACCGCGAACAGAACACGGGAAAGAGCTTTAGGAAAGTTGAAGGACGTAGCACTACAACTAGGAAGAATCACTGTACCAACAGACTTTCAAGTTATAGAATCTATGGAAGAAATGATACTATTAGGAATGAGTTGGTTTAAGAAGTTACGTGCCCGCCTATATTTCGACGAACACAAATTGATCATTACCCACGAAGGAGAAAGCATAGAGCTACCTATTCACCAAGAAAAAGAAGTTAGAATAGAAGAACCGGAAGAGGTGGAGGAAGAGGATTATGAGGAAGATGATTATTTCGACACATACGAGGAAGAAGATCTAGATGAAGTAGAAAGTTATTTGACCGATGATCAGGAGGACTTATATACCAACCCATGGATCGACGAGCAGAGCCCGGCAGCATATTTGATGACGATCGAAGAAGTTCCGACACCCGAAGAAACCGAACGACCCATACAACCTCTGAAAGGAGTAATAGAAGAATTAGTAAATGCCGAAGTCATCGACGACGACCAACGAAAGCAGGCTATTCACTTACTAGAAGAAAATAAGGAAGCCTTCGCCGACGGATTGGATCAACTGGGACAAACTGACGAAGTACAGCATGAAATCGACACGGAAGAAGCGAAGCCGATTAAGCAACACGCATATAGAGTGTTACCTAGTGAGCAAGAGTTTTTGGAAGAGGAAATCCAGAAAATGAAGGAAAAGAAATTAATTAACGAAGTTAAGAGCCCTTGGACATCGCCGGTAGTGATAGTCCCGAAGAAAGGAGGAAAATTACAATTATGCGTAGACTATCAGAAGCTGAATGCAGTCATGAAGAAAGATTCGTACTCTCTACCTAGGATTGACGACTTGTTGGAAGCTTTTGGGAAAGCGAATTGGTTTTCGAGTCTAGACCTAGCTAGCGGATATTGGCAGATCAAGATAAGAGAGAGAGATAGAGAGAAAACCGCATTTATTACGAAGCAAGGAACCTACGTGTTCAACGTAATGCCCTTTGGATTGTGTAACGCGCCAGCGACGTTTTAGAGAACTATGGATCAGATACTTCACGAATACTTGGGAAAATTCGTAGTAGTATACCTCGACGACATCAATGTGTATTCGACGACTTTTGAGGAGCATGTGGAACACCTACGGAGAGTAATCATGAAGATCAGAGAAGCAGGACTAAAATTCAACAGAGAGAAGTGCCAGTTATTTAGGACAGAAATTAGATTCTTAGGACACATAGTAGGATGCAAAGGAATCCAGCCAGACGAAGAGAAAATAATCAAAGTAAAAGAATTTCCGACGCCAACGAACCTAAGACAACTACGAGGATTCATCGGACTTGCATCATATTACCGACGTTTTATCAAGAACTTTGCAACAATCGTGAAGCTGATGCATAAGTTATTAGAAAAAGGAGTGAAATACGAATAGACGCCAGCACAGGAACAAGCATTCAAGAAACTTAAGACTTACCTGACCTCAGCACCTATTTTGCAATACCCGGACTTCGAGCGAACGTTTTATCTTTACACGGACGCTTCAGGAGTAGGATTAGGAGCCGTACTAGCTCAGAGAGGAGAAGATAAGAAGGAATATGTTGTTGCCTACGCGAGTAAGAGCCTCACTAGAGCAGAGCGAAACTATGCAGCTACAGAATTGGAGTGTTACGCAGTAATATGGGCCGTAGAGCATTTTCACCACTATTTCGGATTTAGGCTATTCGTGATAGTAACGGATCATGCAGCATTGAAATGGTTGCATAACACTGCACTAAAAGGACGGAGAGCATGATGGACCTTACGATTACAGCCGTACCAGTATATTATTCAGCACAGAGCCGGACGAAAACACCATAATGCCGATGCACTATCTAGAATTCCGAACTATAAGGAGCCAAAGAAGAAAGAAGAAATAGGAGACGAAAGCTTAATTAATTATTGCCAGATGGAAACGCGACCTATCAGAGAGTTGCGATATTGACTGACCGCCATAATCAAGAAAAGAAGGAAATCCGATGAGAAACACAATCCAGCCCAGGTTGTCGGTGTCCTGGCACTAATAAGGATCAAGATGGAACAACAACGATACGACGAGATCAAGACTTACCTATTGTATCAAAGATATCCGCAGAATTTCGACAAGCAACAACGACGACGATTAAGAGCACAAAGTAAATTCTTTCGTGTGCAAGACGACCAATTATTCAAGAAAAATAGATCGACGAAGCAAAACAATTTGATTAGAGTTCTCACGGAAGCACGTGCCATACGAAGAGACACAGCCGAAGAAGTTGCCAAATTTATCTATGAAGACATTATATGCAGACATGGATGTCCGATGCATATACTCACAGACCGAGGCATGCATTTTAGGAATAGAACGATTGACAAACTCATGGCAATATTACAAGTGAAGCATCAGTATTCTACCCCATACCACCCGCAGACCAATGGATTAGTGGAGAGATTTAACAAGATCTTATGTAACTCGATCGCCAGATTAGTTATTAAGATAACGGAATGGGATATGATGATTCAGCCGATATTATTTGCTTATCGCACCGCAAGACAAGCTACGACCCAGCAAACACCGTTTATGTTAACTTACGGAAGAGAAGCAAGATTACCTGCCCACCCGAGTGAATCCGAAGATCTACTTAATGGAACGTTTTTGCAGAGAATGTATGAGTTGACTACGAAAGTGCCGAACACGAGAAAACAAGCGCTTTTACAAATCCGGGATAATCAATAAAAACAGAAGGCAAACCACGATCGGAAGTTGAAAGGCACTACTACTTTTGGAATTGGAGACAAAGTATTAGTTTACGATATACAGCGAATGAACGCTCCGAGTCACAAGTTCGCACCTAAATGGAAAGGACCGTATTACGTACACGCTATACTTACGAATAGAGCTTACAAATTAAGGGAATTAGATGGGAAAGTTTTATCTACGCCGATTAATGGGACCCACTTGAAGAGATATTTGGAGAGGAAGCATTGAAAATTGACCTTATATAAGAGGGCAATTCGGAGGATATTTTTTTTTTTATTTTTTTTTTTTTTGTATTATTTTTCTTTATTTTATGGGAACAATAGAGGATCTCGTCAGATTTGATATTTTGTCTACTCAGCCGTTATCCGTAACACCCGAAATATGTCCGTACCACGAGAGTCAAGGATTTCAAGATCAAGTCACGATAGCTTACCATCGACTTAGGAGAGCTAGAAGTATTGGAAATCGGATTAGCAGCCTTACTCATGCGTATTATTTGGGAGCAAGGATTCAGACACTTACCTCAGCAGAAAGACCTGTCATACGAAGCATTTTGACCGCGTATTACCTTAAAGCCGCAATCCGGACCTATTATCTTTTCGAACTACATGGAGTCGCACAGATTTATCGGACGATATATACGACTCTTTCGATGATTGTCAAGCTTACGAAGTACGAATTTAATCGACTCATTATGGAAGAACCCGTGGAACGTGTTTTTTTTAGCGGAGGAGAATTGTGAAAGGGAAATTGCATGGTTACATGAGTCTATGCAATGGTGATCTTAAAAATGACAAATCTGAGAAAAATGAGATATCTGTAATATATTTCTTTTATTTGATTTATTTGATTTCTT